TATACCTTTGGGATGTTGCCTCATAGAAAACCAATCAATGTAGTTGGTAAGTCAATGGATACTTATTTTTATGCCATAAAATCCCTGGTTATAAGTGTTACAATATTAGCTTACGCAGTTGTAATTAGATACTTAGAGAAGTGATTGTTTGATTAAATACGCATAACTATTTCCCCACCAACACGAACACGTCTTGAAACAATAAGCCTACAAGTTATTAGGCATTACAAGGTTGAGAAAAAGACTGGGACGAGTTGGCATTGCAGTGCATTGTGGGGCTGTTTTAGGGACATTTCCAAGATGTTAGCTAGTTAACAGCCCCACAATGCACTGCAATGCCAACTTGACCCAGTCTAAACACCCACCCCCCCCTTCCCCAGTAACTGGCCCACCTCTGGTATCTCTAATTCATGACATTGGCACATCGACCCTGTGGGGAGGGAGCGTTGCGTGACGACCGACACTAAAAACGGATGCGAGGGAGACTAATCGACCATTGACTGGTGAAATAAAAGAAAGAAATAACGGTTTCCTCTTCATCTAAAATTCCTTCAGTAATTCCATTATAACTAGGATTTAACAATATAGCGTTAATAAATATAGTGACATGATAGACGTATGGCATATTCCGACCAGTGGTCCCAACTAAATTAGGTCCGGACACACGATGCAAATGTTGCGCACATTAGTTCTAGTGGAAGTGTTTTCGAGGGTTATCATCACACTGGACGAGCAACTTTTCCTGCACACCCGTCGCTTTTAAGAGGGTAGCGCTTAATAGCCAGTGGATAACAAATGTGGCCCTCGTTTCATGATCGAATTGACCTAATTCACTATGACGTCACTGCTTGTTTATGTCGGGGATAGAATCGCCAAATCCAATAGAAAATTCAACTAAATTTGCTCCTAGCGAAACAGCTTAATCTAAAATGGCCTGGTTTTCAGATATAATGTGTGTTAATATGTACTAAAAAAATATTCTTAGCGTTTGCTGGCTATTCTACTTCTCTTCGTGGAATGATACGGGATTTAGAACAATTTTCGGTTAGTTTGCGTTGATTTGACCCCGTCCGACGACCATGATCCTTTGCGTTTAAACGATAGATTGTTGAATATTGTTTTGATGTGACGTCATAGTGAAGTTTGGCAATAAAAAGTTAGGAGTTAATTTTCGTGGAGGTAGGAAAACCGGAGAACCCGTAGAAAAACCCTCGAAGCACAGAAGAGAACTACTAAACAAACTCACATACGACACCGAGCCCGGCGGGACTTATACCCGGCGGGTACGCCACCCCAGCTTTCCTGATTTTATCCTTGCATTCAACAGTTGTGCGCTACAGTTCCACCATGCGTCGGGATCATTCAAGCACTATCATGCAAATCTTTTCATATGGATTTCTTTGTTGTTTTTTTGTTTTACGACAGTCGGTGCTCCAATTGACGTTACCAAAAACGAAGACCCAACGAAAGACGAAATCCAGGAACTTCATGACAAATACGAAGAAAAGCTAATTGAACTGTTCGAAGAAAACAAACTGAAATACGGCTTGAATGAAGAAGACAAACTTGAAATTCTGTAAACTGGAAATGGATTTTTTTTTTTAAACTATAAATTTGAAAGCCATACTATCCTAATATAAATGGTTGATATTTGGGGTTATGTGTGATTCCTTTTCAATTTTCATTTAACTTTAAAACAAACTAAGCTTATCTGTATGGAAATATTGAAAAAGTTATTTTATTATTCACCGATCCAAGGCGATCGAAACTGCTTTTTCTAAAAAGTAAAATCACATAATTTTTCGCCAAAAACACCTGAATTCTTGAAGATTACTCTGTGATCCAACTTTGACTACATAAGAAAATAGTTATTGCTGTTGTTCTTCGCCTTAAATTTGTCTCAAGCCGACGTTTTCTGCACCTTTGAGTGTTTTTCTTTTGAAACCCGCGGGAATCCCTTGGTGTAGATGCGCAGTAATTGTGCGCGCTGACAATAGTAGGCACCGTCTTACATTGCATGGTCACCGCCATTCTCGCTTCAATGCACAGAAATTAAAGAGGTTTATGGCATGGCAAAGATGAACTCTGTTTTACTTTTGGCGAGTTGAAATGTATACTCTTCAAATGTTATTTTAAAATTTAAACTATTTCTTATGTTAGAATTACTTGGATTTATTAGTTAGGCCCCGTCCACGCGTACCCGCAAATTTTTGTATCCGCAAATTTTTTTTTGCGGATACAAAAATGTTCGCGTCCACACGCAGCGTATTCGAATCGTTTTCGAATCGTTTTCGAATCGTTTTCGAATCGTTTTCGAATCGTTTTCGAATCGTTTTCACTGTCCACACGTATCCGGAAATTTCTTGATCCGCCCTGATGCACGCTAGTGCCTAGTTCCTTTGACGGATAGTTTTCTTATTGAGCATGAGCAAAGTCGTGTTTACGTCAGCGTATTCGAAAATTTGCGGATACGACCGTCCACACGTATCCGTATTCGGAGCGTATTCGAAAATTTCCACTCTGGAGACCGTTTTCGAAAATTTCCGAATACGGATACGAAAATTATCGGACACGTGTAGACGCAACCCGTATCCGCAAAAAAAAAATTTGCGGATACACAAATTTCCGGATACGTGTGGACGGGGCTTTAGTTTACATTTTCAAAGCGTATATAATTTCGTAAATTTTCTGGTCAGTCTGCAGTCTGCGGTCTGCGTTTGTTGCACACCGCCCAGCTGTCAGTCTGCAGTCTGCGTTTGTCGCACACCGCTAGGTCAGGACACAGGGAACCCGGCTATATATTTTTTTGTTTCTTTTAGAAAATTAACTTTGCTCTTTGTGGGTTTCCTGTGTTGTGATCGGTTTCCTATTACATAAGCTGTAATCAGATCTGCGCTGTAATCAGATCGGCGCTGTAAACTGATAGCCGATTAAATTCAAATCAATAACCGTTGGTAACGCACTCTCTAGTAAACACTCAAAGAAAGTGCGTTACACACCACAGGCAACCCATAAAAAACAAAACACCAACGGTTATTGATTTGAATTTAATTGGCTATCAGTTTACAGCGCCGATCTGATCACAGCGCAGATCTGATTACAGTAATGATGAAAAGGTAAATTATACACCGTTCAGATTAGCCTCCTTCGCAGCCGTTCTTAGGGTGAAACGTTGCGTGACGACCCTAAGAACGGCTGCGAAGGAGGGTACGTTCAGATCTGATTACAGCTTATGTAAAAGGAAACTGATCACAACACAAGGGCGCCAGGACAGACGGATTGGGTTTAAATATGTGCGATTGTTTCAGTTATTCGTAGATTTCTAATTGAATTGATATATCTTTGTTTCTAAATGGATACTAAATAGTGTTCACTTATCTTTCCAACCAACGGTCTTTCTGGTTTGAATCAGCCGTACGATATGAATATAGTTACCACGTCCACCAACGGTCTTTCTGGTTTGAATCAGCCGTGCACTATCCGTGCCAAACAGTGCTGGCGTCGCTTCGTTAGCGATTACTCACCCTTAATAAGTTAATCAAATTTACTGTACTGAAGGTAAATTTGATTAACTTATTAAGGGTGAGTAATCGCTAACGAAGCGACGCCAGCACTGCTTGGCACGGATAGTGCAGTAAATACTCAGAGATTTAAAATTTGAATTTAAAATTTGGTAAATGTCTAAGGCCTGCCTGTACTTACACTTAAAGCATCTGTCTAGGACAATATTTGTACAGTAGTTAATTCAGCGTCGACTGCACTATAAACAGCTAAACCATAGGTTAAATTAGGTAACACTAGGCTATTAAAAACGTGATCAAGTTCTTTTTGAATGACTGTACCCTTCTTTCCTTAAACACCTAATTACTATTTGTAGACATTTGTTTGCTTTGGTTAACTTGATTTTTATATGTGAACTAAAGCGGTTTTCACAGTATCTCTTGTAACGAAATTGGATTTCATTTTTTGTCATTTTTGTTTCAAAATGGCGTTTTGCTTTTTTGTTACGTTTGAAGAAACGAAGAACTTTGGAATCAGTGAATAATACTGTGAATGTTAATTTACTAATAATTAGATATGATACCGTTAGAAAGAAGTGTCGTCCACCAATCTCCGGGAAAACGGCTAATAGTATAAGCTAGAAAATACCCTTTTTGTACATTACTAGTGAGGATGTGCGCAAGTTGGTTTTAATTCAAAAAAATATTCACTTTTGGAAATTTCGAGAAAAATAGACCTCTTTACCTTGGGTGTTATGTTTGCCCATTTCAGACCACATGTCCGTGATTTCTCTTGGGAATAAGATTCTTTGTTTAAGTTGTATCCATATTCATTTGTCTTCTCATGCGCAACCGAGCGCACACTTTAAACAAAGAAATGATACTCTAAGGAATGACACATGGTCTGAAATGGGAAAACCGGTTGCCCAAGTTACTTGAAGTGGTCTATTGCAGCTCAGTACGCCGCTGTGCGTGTTTGTTACTTCCACAACACGCACGTGGAGCTCCTGCCAAAACTGCCGCAGAGAGGCCAATATTAAAATATGGTGATCAAATTAAACGCAGGCTAACGTTTTCTAGAACAAGTTAAGCTATTCACGCGTACAACCAGTCTAGTSGTCTCATTTCTTTGTAGGCATCCACAAAGTTTCTTAATTTGACAAATTCGTACCTTCGTCATTCTAGTGCAATCTTAACGGAACTTTGCATTTTTGCTATTATTGATGTGAAAAAATTGATAGTAAAGGCCTTTTTCCGATAAATCAAATATCTTAAATTAAATTTCAATCTCTATTGTGAGATTGAATAACGAACTTGACATGATACTGCGGTAAATAAAATATCTGCAGGAAACCTTTTGAATTTTGTTAGAAACGTTTTAGGGGTAATTTGGAGGTCTGGAACCTAGACATACGTCATGCAATATTTGGTATATAGTTTCACCCCCAGACATCCGGCTCTCTCCCAATAAAAGACCTGCAGAACACGTAGAGGTTGTGCCAAAACTTATAAACAGGTCTAGTGCTGAAAAAGGAGGTTTCTGGATAGTACTGAGTTTGTTACCGAACCGAAATCAGGCTTGGAGATATRACACTGTTTAAGGTAGGTCTTTCATTACTGCGACTTTTGCTCTTAGGTTTAGTCTCTTTCGTATTGCCGGACTATCATACTTTTTTTAAAGATTTTATATCTTAGATTATCAGTGGGTGTAACTAAAGTTTGATCCTTTTGCACTGCTAAATCATGAGCAATTTTCAAATCTTTCTATTTCGCGTTCTAGCAGAGTCGATTACCTTCTAAGACTCTGTAGAGTTTTTCTCGAGTGATACTTCGAAATCTTGATATCAAAATCTAGCAATGACCTAACTTTAATATATTAGACCGAAGGCTGAAGATTCGATAAAATCAAATCGAAAAATATATACTGTATGTGCGTTTATCATATCTACACCCGCATGATTCAAGCGAAGTCCTGTTGAACAGCCAACAGATCAAATTATGGTTCATGCAGTCAACCACTACCTTATGCATGCTCTTCTACCAAAAGTAAACAACGGTAAACCTGTTGATCGAAGAGCCATGGTATCTTTGGACAGAAATTTGTTACTGGACTAGTAAAATAACCTTTCGGGGTCCTCATTTTCTTTCCAAGTTGATCAGTTTGTTTTCAATGGATTGTTTCGGGAATTGGCCATATGATTGTAAAATATATAATAAATCGTCTGAACTAGTATTTTTAAACAATTTAGCCGAAACATTTGTATTTCCAGACATGTTTTGAAAAAAAAAACAATACGCGAGCTGACATGATAATTGAAACAGGAACTCAGTGCAATTAATTATATCTTTTGTCATAAACAGGGTCTACAATTTTGAGTTTTTTTGTCATAAACAGGGTACCCCCCCGGGTATGATCCACACACGATATTTTAGGGCTCATGCAGTTGTTATGAAAGTGTGCTTTAAAAGTGTAATAATAATAATAATAATAATAATATGTTTTTATTAGTCAAAAGCCGGGTAAAAATACATATCTTATGATACGATAAATATATAAATAAACTAACGTAAATTAATGAAAAACGCGCAATTACATCAGTGGGTACTACTTGAAAAGTGTTCATTACTGCAATAAATCATGTTTAAAAATCAGCGTATTTACAAATGAATTTTGAAAGCTAGCGGTGCGAACTCTTGGCCTAACTACAGAAGGGAGTCTCAAATTATAAGACGTTATTTACGCTTAGGTAAGTAATTGTGTAAAGGGTGGTTGCTTGAGGAAGTTGCTTTCTTAAAGTAACACCCGCTTAATAAGGACACCTCTTTTAAGGACAGGTTTCAAAGTCCCGACGAAAGTTCCATACATTATTTTCTGTTAAATTATTCTGTTATATTTATCTTTATTCATTTATTTAATACGGATTATGTTGTCAGTTTTTGCGTTGAAACGGACCACACACTCAAAAGGAGACAGCATGGTCTAGTGGTCATAGCGTCGGTCTCGCAATCCGGTATACATATATCTACCTGATATTCCCACTGATGAGAATGATTTATCTTTAATCAGATCTTAGTTTCGCTTCGATAACCTCCTTGAACTGAATAAATATATGAAATGCTCATTCGCTTCGGATTTAATTAATTCAGAGAGGTCGTCTGGGATCCGTCGTCTGGGATTTTATGAGTCCGGTGAGTCAATGAGTCGTGAGTCGTGAGTCTGTGGGTCATGAGTCGAATAAAATTAATTATAATATCTCTCGTGAAAGTTATCAAAAATGGTACCGGTATTGAAGTTATAGCGGACATGGACTGCTTCCCCTTATGTATTAAAAATTCACAGAAAGTTGGGGGGCTGAAGCTCCCCCAGCCCCCCCGGTTCCGCCGTCCCTGTTGTTCAAAGCTGGATTAGCGCTAATCCAGGATTAATTAACTCTATAGGTCTTATCAAGAGTTAACCCAGGATTAGCACTAATCGGTCTTTGAACAACTGGGCCCAGAACACTAACACAGTAAACCAAAAACATCAGATGAAAGTAATCCAGCGAAAATTTTAATATTAGATTCTCTGCTGATTTGCTGCATGTATTGTTGAAACTTACCCTAGAACTTTTTTCAAAACACCAACCGAACTTTAGTCTCCCTCCAAGGGCGGATCCAGGGGGAGGGTCGGGGGGTTCGCGACCCCCCTGTCATTCCTGAGGTCAAATGGGCTTCCTGTGGTAAAAATGCGACTGGGATTCCCTTACCCACAAAATTTACCCCTGAGACCCCCCTTCAAAAAACCCTGGATCCGTCCTTGCCCTCGCATCCGTTTTTAGTGCCAGAAACGGATGCGAGGGTGACTAACCGAACTTAGACTTTTCGAACTTTCGAATTTTCGAACCATTCACTGGACTTGTACTCCAACTCGACTCTAATGTTGTTCAAATTTGAACCGATAATCGATATTTTATGCACCGAAAATTGAACTACGGTATCTCTACCACTAACAGACTTCAGTACCAAACTCAATAGGTTTTGATATAGGACCTGTTTTTATTAGAACATCTCACTGCAACTAGCTGCACGAATACTCGCCGATTTGTTTATTCGCTCCAGTCTATCCGCGCAATCTCTCAATTTCAATCTCTATTGTGAACTTGACATGATACTGCGGTAAATTTAATATCTGCAGAAAAACTTTTGAGCTTTGTTAGAAACATTTTGCTCAGTACAATTTAGGGGTGATTTGGAGGTCTGGAACCTAGGTAAATGTCATGCAATATTTGGTATATGGTTTCCCTGCTAGCAGAGCGGCACCAAAACAAAAAGAAAATAGGCCTGCCAGCAGGAAACCGCCAGGCCTCTCCACGCCCATTAAAAAACCCTGCAGGACATGTAGAAGGTCAGTAAGTGAGGTTGTGCCAAAAACGTATAAACAAGTCTAGTGCTGTATAGAAGTTTGTTAGTACCGAACCGAAATCAGGATTGTTTAAGGTGGGTCTTTCATCATTCGAAGCGTATTTTCGACTTTTGCTCTTATATTTTCTCTTTCGTGTTGCCGAACTTTCATAATTTTTTTAAAGATCTTATCTTAGATTATGTTAGTGTAGCTAAAGTTTGATCCTTTTGCACTACTAAATCATGAGCAATTTTCAAATCTTTCTATTAATCGTTCTTGCAGAGTCGATTATGTAACGCTCTATCGAGTTTTTCTCGAGTGAAAATTTCGAAATCTTGATAGTAAATTTGGCCATATCCTAACTTTAATATATCCGACGAGAGGCTGTTTGAAGAGAGAAGAGAAGAGAAATTTACTGTATGCGCGTTTATCATATCTACGCCAGCATTATTCTGCCAATCCGCTATTCAACTGAATCAAGCGAAGCCCTGTTGAACAGCCAACAGATCAAATTATGGTTCATGCAGTCAATCACTACCTCATGCTCTTCCGGCATGGTATCTTAAGACAGAAATTTGTTACTGGACTAGTAAGTTAACCTTTCCGGGGCCTCATTTTCTGTCCAAGTTGATCAGTTTGTTTTCAATGGATTGTTTCAGTATTTCTTTTGAAACTCCAGCTCTCCAGGTGATTCACCAAAAACAAGCCGACTCATGCAGTTGTTATGAAAGTGTGCTTTCTCCATGAATTTTCTAGAATGTTTTGAATATATATATTTAAAGATTATTGAAGTTAAACTATTAGGTCGTATTCGTCTTCCCTTTTGATTCTCCGAGAATAGAAGTAGGAAAGAAGGAAGAGGTAAAAGAGAAGATCTGCTCAACCAACACAAAGAACAACTATGTATCTTTTTGTGTATATGTGCGTGTTTTGGGTGGTATATATATATATATATGCGTATATATCTTACGTCATTTCAAATAGCTTTTAGGGTGAAATTTCTAAGCAAGGTATACAGTCGTAAAAAACATTGAGAAAATATGAAATAAATATTATTATTTTACCATGCAGAACTCGTTTCACATACAGCAGTGGTGTTAATACATGCTCATATAGTGTAGTTTTATTTAAAATGTCTGAAATGCAAAAGTAAAACAAGAAAAATAAGAGAGTAAACTGAAGTAGAAAACGCGATAGATCAGATTTTTTTTCGAAAACGTCATAATTTCATTGGAAGAGTCAAAGTAGCTGACGATCGATCTACTGATGTCTAGACCTCAAGCTGTTTGTTCTAGTCGATAGTTTCGATCGTTATCTCTCACTATATTTGCATGTGCTTCAGTGTTTCGTGAAGTGTAGGACGAAGTGGGAAATATTACGCTCTAGAGCTAAACGTTTGTAAAGTAAAGTTCTCATATTCATTAATAATTCATGAGTAAACCAGCCAATCAATGGGCTATTTTTGGGTCACATGATGTTACTTGAAACCTAATAAAGTCTTGTGAAAGAAATGCATTCAGTCTGTAGTAACTGGAACAAAATTAATTCGTCCTATAGGACTGAACTAATTTTGTTCCAGCTACTCCAAGTCGAATAATTAATAAGCATGAGAAGTCATTTCAAAGCCTTCAATGTCGGACTGGACAGGATTTCAAGTCCGCGCAATTAACAATTGCTTACTATTGAAATCCCCTCCTGTCTACATTGTCGGCTTTGACACATTACTTCAAGTACTGTTAAGTGGTAATGGAGGCTAATTGGTGTCATTTTACATCCCAATTGCATAGAAATATTCCAAACTCAAACCTCAACATGTTTATAATATATAGAATTATATGAAAAATCATAAAATCTCCATTAAGTTGAAAAAAGGGGAAGAATTTTTGAAATTGATGTAAGTAATTGGAAATCGCAAAAAGCGCTTATTTTTGAGTTATAATCGCCGCGTTTTAATCAATCAGTCTAATAATTTTATCAATGAATCTAGACACAAAAATAAAACTTTTCATCAAGTACACCTCAGAATATTTGATAGTAAGAAAGTTATGAGCGATTTACAAAGTTGAAATCTTATGCGAATTAAATGTCACGCTTGTCAAATTGAAACAAAACGACTTACCACGTTGTACTCTGGTGAAATCTTTCTAAGTTATGTCTAATTTAAGCTTGCAAACTTTCACAGACATTGGTTAAAACCCTTTGACACAATTGCGAATTTACTAGAAGCATACGTTTTTACTGGGATACCTGTGAATCACAGTCGTAAAATGCCTTTGTTTTTTTTCATTTGTATCTTTTTCTCCTCGACAAAATGACAAAGTTGCGCAATAGTTACCCAGGGGTCTTCAGGAACTTACCCAAGAGACCTTTGTGGGTATCTGCTATAGGGTTCCCGTCTATAGTACAATCGATTATCATGTACCAGATGTCAATCAATGTCACTATGTTGTCAAGTGATTATGAGAGGGCGAAGTTAGCATATCACGTGGCACAGGTTTATGTCTACGCATGCTCTATTTTGTTGACCGCCGTAATTCAAGACAGCCGAACTAGAAATATTAATTTATCAATTTCGTAAACAAGGATTTCAAGCCGAGAAGATAGCGATGATTTCGAAGCGATTATTTCTAAGAATTTTCAATAAACTTCATGGGCAAAAGTGTTTTTTGGTTAACTATTCATGATTCATCTACTCGAACAGTATTTTCTGCACGAACAAGCGAAGGTCCACGAGGAGAACAGGGTTTCAAGAGACAGAATTACGATAAGCGATAGTATAAACAAACTCATTCACTCGTTATTCTCTTGAACTTGACAATAGTCTTATAGCCTATATTTATGTATTTATATTAACTGTTTTGGCTTCAAAGTCTACTCACAAAGGACAATGGGGTACATAGCAATATTTATTTTAAGATTCTATTTGATGAAGCAAAATAAATAATTTGCTACGCACATTCCAGCCGTTCGAAGCGTTTTGATCTCCTTTAATTTTTCTTCAGAAAAATGTCGATTCATTAAAAAATATCGATAAATTATCAAATGTAAGTCAATTATGAAAGAGGTTTTGAGCAAATATTAGCCTGTATTTACGTTTAAAATAAAGCATTTTGATTTTAAAGCGAGCCGTGCGAATGTGCATGCTTTTGAAACGTGGTTGAATTACGAAGCTTATTACGTATGCCAAAATCCGGATCTCGGAACTGGAATTGGAGTTCCAGATTGAGTTTCATGAGTATGGCATATACGCTCTGCCTACAAACGGCTTTTAACACTGTCGTTCGAAATTTTACAACTCATTTTTACTCCTCCTTTGGATTCTTAGAGACTCTGATACTAGTAAACCGTCCCACCCAGGGTTTGGTTTATCATTCTTCGAGACGTCACGAAATACTTTATCAGTATATTTGGAAACTCAACCAACTAAATACTCCATTCATGTTGAAACCAGGTGCTCCAGGTATCCCAGTCTACCCTGTCAACAGGAACTTGTTGGCTAAAGACTAGAGAAAAAACGTCACATATGGCGCCAAAATCCCTTTGCGACTCCATGCCGCGTAGTTGCGTTACTCTTTTTTTTTTCCATATGAAGAGCCCCAGGGGCTCTCTAAGGGTTCATCGGATAAACCCAGAATATTGGGGGAAAACATTTTTAACAATAGATATAACCCATTCAGATACCTAGAGAGAAGTTTGGAAAGTCGAACTTCTAAAAATAGATACGACCTATTATCCAACTGCCAGGAGAAAGGGGGGTAATCTTGAAGATGGCTTAAGTAGAGGGCTATACTAAAAATAGACATGAGCTATCCAGATATTCGGGCAAGAAGTCAGAGCATCCGGCCGAATCCGGAGCGGCTCCGGATCCAGGTGGCGTATGACACCCATAACTATTTTTGATAGAAGATAAAACATCAAGTCCATGATAGTATAGTGGACCAACACCTCACTTTAGAATACGTCACCGTCATTTAGAGCCCGGGGTAGGGGAGAGAACCTTGCTCCACTTGCTCCGGAGTGCTCCAGGTGGAGCATCTTGCTACGCTGGCTCCGGAGTGCTCCGGGAGGAGTACATTGCTCCGCCTGCCAGAACTGTCATTTCATATCTACTTAAATAAGGCAAAAACTACCATATACGGCTGCTGTTTTCCCCGAGAAACCAATCATAAGAGGCAAATGAACACAACAGACAACTTGACGTAGCAACGACACTTTATGGACAGATCCCGCAAAGGAACTTGGTGGTATCTGGTAACAAACACGATGAAAACACGGCCAGGCGGAAAATATCTCAAATTTAAGAATGTTTTATAACAAAAATGGATTTTATTTGGTATTGGAAAATAATTGTATTAAAAAAATTGTATTTTGAAAGCAATGAGTTTAGCCTGCGTGCAGCCGAATTAACTAACTATTAATACGAGAGAAAAGTCCGGCTGCACGCAGACCACGCAGGCTACAATGAGTTTTACTGCGCTAAGGGGAATATGAATCACTAATTTGACCCCTGACCCAGTGAAAGACTTGAAATCCGTCAATCATAAAGAAAACCTTTACTTGCTTATATTTTAATAATCCAAAAGAAAGAAAACAATGTAGGATGGTTTATTGTAGCATTCGGTTTGTCTTTTAGAAGAGTGTTTTGTTAGAGACTAATAACATTTACTATTATCATATGACCCATATCTGCCTGGGCGCGCGCTCTCAGAAAAACCTTCGGGAAAATGGCGTGAGCAGGGCCGTACGTCTTTGAGCGAGCAGGGCCGTACGAAGCCATACGGCCCTGCTCGAATCCGCGCGCTTTCTTTTTTTCAATTATTTTTCTTTTCGTGAGGGTCATATGATAAAATGCTTATTGGCCGAGTTAGGTCGGGCCGTACGGGAAAATATTTGGCTCTCGGTCATTTGTACGGCATCACCTCGATCCAAATATTTTCCCGTACGGCCCTTCCCCCACTCAGTCAATAAGTACATAGTACCCCTTCTGGTTAGTCTCTTTAGGGATCCCTCTTCAGCAGCCTTTTTTTACGTATACTGGGTTGCCTTTGGAAGCCCAGTCGTTGAATGACTTTGGTTTTTTTCCCCTGCTCGACAAAATGGCAAAGTTGCGCAAGATCACCCATATATGGATTTGATTGACGTGTTCATAGATTCATGGCTCATACGCTGGCTCAGCAGCTGAAGCTGTGACTCCGCCGGGCTCTCCTCATTTAGAAGTAATATAAATGAGCGGTAAAAGAAGATTTCTAAAGATCCGCATTTTTTGTCATTCAGAGCCTGAGCTAGCTTCGAAAATAACCATTAGCCTAAAGGAAACTATGAGGCTTTCAGTCTTTTTAATTAATACGATATATACATGAAATTGTCGTTAAATACTACGCGGTAATGAAGCTCATAACATTGGCCGTAAATGATTTTCTTTTACGTACAAATTTTACGGTTTTCTTTTACGTACAAATGTAAATCTTAGAAATATTAGCTTTATAATGTCTAGAATTGACACAGAGCGTTTTAAGACCAGCTTTATAAATACATTAGTTTTGAAATATTTGTAATTAGTTAAAAATTTTCTTTTTCATTCATATCGCCTGTAAGTTCTATATATTTTATTGTAAAAATTGATATGTATTTTATCGATTTAATAAAGACACTCAAGAGAATATTAAGTAATATTCTCTTGAGACATCATSATGATGATGATGATGATGATGATGATGATGATGAAAGACGCTTCACTGAGTTTCGAATCGTTTTATTGACCGAGTCTTCATCCACTTTAATGGTTTGGATATTAAAAACACTTTAAGTGTACATAACAAGGATAAAAAGGTATTTTTAACTTTTATTTGATTCAGACGAGCTGAAACTAATAGGTCGGGAATTACAAACCCGGTCCAAACAAGCCAATCGGTTTGAATACATTTCTAAACGAATTTATGTCGCTTATTTTAATAAAGATTTTTATTTCGTCGGACACGAAGGAGTCTTAGTATGGTCAAGAATACTGAATATCCGCATCTGTATTTATACAGTACTATAATTAAGGGGTAGCACACCGCATTACGAGCTAGTGTGTTACATTCTAATTGTATGTAGTTTACGAACAATTCTATAATTCCTTTCAAATATTACTCAGTACATAATACTCAAAAGGAAGCAAGAACGTTCTCCCAATGCTAAGATTAAAGAACTTTCGGAACGCCCAAAAGTGGACAATATTGGGAAAACAATTTAAACTAGCTTAAGGATGGTGCCTACTAATTGAGAATCAATTATTTTTTAAATGACTATGTGAATTGTTTTTACCTATCAAAGGGTTGTTAAATTCTGGTTAAAAAAATAGGGGTCACCATGCATTTAAGAGAAATAATATAGCTTAAAAATCGTTAAAAAGTGATGACGTCACTATTTTACTAACACGAAAAAAAAACCTTTTTTGGAAAATATTTTGATAAATTTCCATTTTAAATCGTCCTATATGACTGACACACTGTTTATTGACTAAAATATACCCCTGCTATCATGACTATAATAGCTCGCTATAAAATATATAAATTTTTAGCTTCGTGCTCCCTATTTTTCGATCATTAGACACATAGAGATTGTGTCCATATTCTTTTAAAAACCAATTATTTTTCATAATTTTCATTTCACAAGGGTAATTTGGCATTTACTTTATTTTAAACAAAGAAAAAATAGGAGTATCCAGGCGCTTTTAAGAGATACGAATTTTTAAAGAATATTACTAGGGTTAAATCTTATGCCGAATGCGTGACAAGCGTTACACAGCATACAAAACGGCGTGACAAACTCTGTTTTCGGCGCGTTTGCACATCAAGCTAAACATGCTGCATCCCCGCCACGCAAAAGAAAAACACAGAGAAAAACTCGACATTTTCAAGCTTTAAAGTTCCAGGAAGAATATTGGGTTTGAAGTAAAGTTATTATTGACTTTTTACTTCACAGCAGAAAAGAATTTCTGAAACATTTGGTACGTAAGAAGATGATTTTTTAGATTGAGAAGTCCAAAGTAGAGTGCACGCACTAAAACCGTGAACATTAAATAGTACTAATTAGTACTATTTCATGCAGAATCCTTTGTTTTCTATTGTTTAGTTATCACTATTTAGTGCTAAAAATTAGTATTTGTTTCACGGATTTAGTGTGAGCACTCTAATAGACTTTCATRATTAAAGTGTTTAGCTACCAAGAAAAGATTTTCAGAACTATAATTACACAAATATATTTAAGCAATAGAAAACTTCTTCCGTGTTTACATAGCCTGATAGCAACACGAGGGGAGGTTGGGAGAATTCGAGACAGTTATGCAAACCCGAGTCGTAGTCGTTATCTCTTTAACAAGCCTGGGTTACTTAAAATCGTTTTATTCTTTAACTCAGTTTATCGAAAATACTACCAAAACAGGTAGTGACAATCGCACCCTAAAAAGGAAGTGGCCAATGACGATTAAGATAAACGTATCTGATTATATTACAAATATGTAGATAACGACTAGTTTTGGCACTAGTTTGGACTGCGTCGGTGTTTTTTGGTTGAAACAAATGTGTCGTAGTAGATAATTTTATCACCGTAAATACGAAAGATAATAGACTGACGTTTCGGACGTTAGTCCTTCGTCGGAGTCAATGGCCCATCGACTCCGACGAAGGACTAACGTCCGAAACGTCAGTCTATTATCTTTCGTATTTACGGTGATAAAATTATCTACTACGACACATTTGTATCTGATTACATTCCTGAGCCCAGAGCGGCAATTTAACTTTGATGTTAAGATTCAAATTTGACCGTTACTTACAGCAAGCTCAAAGTTCAAAGCTAATTAACCGCCTCGGGCTGAGGAATGTAACCAGATACGTTTACTACCGAAGCAGGTAGAGTGACAATCGCGCCCGAAAAAAAGCAGTCGCCAATGACGATTAAGATAAACGTATCTGGTTACATTCCTCAGCCCGGGGCGGTTAATTAGCTTTGAGCTTTGAGCCTGCGGTCAGTAACAGTCAAATTTGAATCTTAACATCAAAGTTAAATTGCCGCTCTGGGCCGGGTTGTTCAAAGCTGGATTAGCGCTGATCCAGGATTAACCCAGGATAAGTACTAATCGGGCTTTGAACAACTGGGCCCAGGGCTCAGGAATGTAATCAGATACGTTTATCTTAATCGTCATTGGCGACTGCTTTTTTTCGGGCGCGATTGTCACTCTACCTGTTTTGGTAGTAAACACTTTGTTTCGTGCAATTCCAGTAATAAATTTTGAAATTCCTCGAATGTAGATGCGCAGTACGTGTGTGCGTGGACAATAGTAGGCACCGTCCTTAAGGAGGCTGGAAAGTGTTTTGTGCCTTCAAATACACTTACAATTATGAACTAAAAAAATTAATATGGCTATAATACGACAGTAAGTAAACCCGGAAAGCCAAAGACTATAAACCAAAGATCACAATG